ATAATAGAGAAGCAAACAAGGATAATGATGCTGTGGGGTAGATCATACCCAACCATGCTAGCCCGATCCCGAGTAGCAAAGGCATTAGTGGTCTCAAGATCTCTATATCTGATGACAGTAAATGGAATAAACAAAAGACAACTAGAAACCATGGAAAAGAACATACGAAAATTCATATGGCAAGGCCAGAAAGGGCCAGTATCATGGGAAAGAGCGATTCAACACCGAGACGAAGGAGGAATAGGAGCCCCATGTGTTAAATCACTATACGAGGCAACGAAAGTGATGTGGATAAAACGATGGCTAACTCCAGGAGAAGATAGACCAAAATGGGCCTGGGCCGCAAATGCGATCCTCGAAGGAGCAATAAGATCAAGACCCATGATAACAAAAGACGCAATAACAGAATGGATAGAACAAAGATGGCACGAACAAGGGAACTCACCTCTCATCCCCGAATCGGTCAGACACATGATGAAGGCAGCCAGAACATACAACGTAAAAATCTCCATACTCCGAGCACCTCCGGAACTTAAGGAAGCGATGCCCGCCTTCTTCCACCCAGGAACGACAGCAATAGCCATCAACAACACCGAAGAAGCAAAATGTCTGAGGGAAAACCACCGCGTGACGACAATAGCAGACCTAACAAAAGTGACAAACAATGAGAATGGCCAACTAAACTCAAACTGCGAGCTAGGAACACCAAAATGTAAGAAAATAGCAGAAAAGCTGATTAACAACTTACCAGAACTATGGAACCCGAACAGTGGATCGCCACACAAGAACAACCTATACCATACAGTAGAACAGAAAGAAGAGTACGCTCACTGGAACATACGCACAAGACCAATACCCTTCAACCCAGACCCCGGAGACGGAAAGACCACCTTAGAGAATGTAAGGATCTTTGGAAAGAGACGAGGATATACACAGAAGATAAGAATAGCAACAATCTACGTACCAAATGACAGAATAGAAAAGATTAATGCACTAAACACCCTAAGAGAAGAGATCAGGAAAACAGAAAATGCGCACAAGATAATACTCACAGGAGACTTCAACATGGTAGAGGAAGAACGCGACCGCTACCCAATACACGAAGATGACAAACAAGTCTGCAAGACAATGAAAAAACTAAAAACCAACTTAGGACTGATAGACGGCTGGCGAGAGACTCATGAAGACGATATCGCATTCACCTGGAAAGGAAAGAGTGGCGAAGAGGCTGTGTTTGCCCGAATCGACAGAATTTATGCATCAGCGAGAATGATGCACCTAATGAACGAATGGGAAATAAAGGAAATAGAATCTCAGATATCAGACCACCAAGCAGTAACAGTGAAAATACTTGAACCGGACCCGCCTCTCATTGGGAAAGGGGAGTGGCGACTAGCTCTACACACCATGGAACATAAACACTTCAAGACCGAAGCTGAAATTGTCCTCAATAAAGCCGCAAGAAGTATTGAAAAATACCACCGAATCGAATATCGCACAAGCAAGAACCCAGAACTGCTAAAACACGAGAGGATGAGAATAAACCCGCAGATGATATGGGAAAACTACAAACAGGGCATAAGAAGAGCGGCAATGGAAGCAGAAACCATAAGAAATAAAGCAATCAGAAAGGAAATAAATGAGTACCAAAGGCAGGCACGGAAGATACGAGTACAAATGAAAAAGGGGAGAGGTATCGAAGAACAGAAAACCCTCAGAAAGGCATTAGACGAAGCAGAGAAGAAGATAAGCAAGACAAAAACCAAATTTCGAGAGAAAGCAGAAGCGACAATCGAGGCCAAATGGCTAAAAGCAGAGGAAAGAGCAACAAAACTATGGTACTCAACTCACAAGGAAAGACCAAAGAGGCAGATACTCCACTCACTACTCGATCTGATAGGAGACGAAACAAGGAATACAGAGGAAATGCTAAATATCGCACGAACGCACCACCAGGAGCTACAAGGAGAGCAGGAAATGACACAAGAAAGAAGGGAGGCAATAAATCGACTTCTAGCAAGAATAGAAAATAAAACAACAGAAGAGGATATCAATAGACTACAAAAACCAATAAAGTTCGACGAAATTCTAGAAGCTATTGACAAAGGAAAGAATGGGAAGGCACCAGGGCCCGACGGGATACCAATCGAATTTTGGAAACAAGAGCTAAAGTGGGTCAAGGAATCGATAGAGAAAGGAGGAAATAGAATAAACATAGCAGCAGTACTCACAGAGGTATTACAGGATATAGAAAAGCACGGAGTAGAGGATGAAAGATTCACAGAGGGACGAATGAGTCTACTCTACAAAAAAGGAGACAAAAGGAAGATAGTAAACTACCGACCAGTCACACTACTAAACTCAGACTATAAACTATACACCACTGCACTAACAAACAGACTAAACGAAACAGCACCAAAGATAATACACCCTGACCAAGCGGGCTTCATGCCAAGAAGAAGCATATACAACCAAACAAAGATGATCGAGCTAACAATAAGACTATGTGAAAACGAAAGGAAAAATGGAATGATCCTAGCGCTAGATCAAGAAAAGGCATACGACAGAATCGACCACAAGTACTTGTGGGAAGTAATGGAGAAGTTTGGACTCCCAAAAAACTTCATACAAAAAGTCAAGAACCTATACACTAATGCAGAAACAGCAATACGACTAAACGGCTGCGTAACCGAACCCTTCCCTATCAAACGCGGAGTAAGACAAGGCGACCCCCTCTCATGTCTATTATACAATATCGCCATAGAACCACTATTTGAACTCATAAGACAGTCTGATATCAGAGGGATACAGATACACAGAAGCACCACAAATGCAAGACTATCAGCATATGCTGATGACACAACCGTGTTCCTATGCGAAGATGACAACCCAGAGATACTGATGAACTGCATAGACATCTTCTGCAAAGCATCAACAGCAAAGTTCAATCAAGAAAAGACAGAAATAATACCAGTAGGAACGAAAGACTACAGAGCAAACCTATATGAGAACCGCAAATTCGGCGATTGGCAAATCCCAGACACCATACGAATAGCGAGAGACAAAGAAGCAATAAGAATCCTAGGATCCTGGCAAGGAAATGATGTCAATGCGAATGCCAAGTGGGAAGAAATAATAGAGAAGCAAACAAGGATAATGATGCTGTGGGGTAGATCATACCCAACCATGCTAGCCCGATCCCGAGTAGC